GGGGGGGTTTCCTCATGGGGGGCCGGGACCCCCAAAACACACCCAGGGGACCCCCAAAACACACCCAGGGGACCCCATAAACCATCCCAGGGGAGCCCCCAAAACAACCCCAGGGACCCCCAAAATTATCCACATAGACCTGCCCCCAAAACTTAATCATGGGGAGACCTCAAACTGACCCCCAGGATTCTGAACTCCCTCCTAGAGACCCCCTAAAACCACTCCAAAGACCCCCAAAACCCCCCATGGCCCCCCCCCCCCAAAATCTCATAATGGGGAGACCCCAAAACTGACCCCCAGGATCCTGAAACCCACCCCTGGGACCCTCTAAAACGCTCTCACAGGAGCCCCTAAAACCACCCCAGGGACCCCTAAAATTATCCACAGAGACCCTCCCTTAAACCTCATCATGGGGAGACCCCAAAACCGCCCCCAGGATCCTGAAACCCACCCATGGGACCCCCAAAACACACCCACAGGACCCCCTAAAACCACTCCAGGGACCCCCAAAATTATCCATAGAGACCTCCCCAAAAACTTAATCGTTGGGAGACCCCAAAACTGACACCCAGGATCCTGAAACCCACCCCTGGGACCCCCTAAAACCACCCACAGGAGCCCCTAAAACCACCTCAGGGACCCCTAAAATTATCCACGGAGGCCCCCCTTAAACCTCATCATGGGGAGACCCCAAAACTGACCCCAGGACCCTGAAACCCACCCCTGGGACCCCCAAAACTCCCCCAGGAGGGTTTATAATCCCCTGGGGACCCCTGAACTCACCCTGAGGGAGCCACAAACCCCCCATTGACCCCTAAAACCACCCCAGGGACCCCCAAATTTCTCCAGGGGGGGTTTAATCCCCACCCAGGACCCCAAACCCACCCGTGGGAGGGTTTAGAACCCCTGAGGGACCCCCAAAACTCACCCATGGGGGGGGTCAGGACTGGGTTGAACCTACAAAGGGAACAAAGGGGGGGTCAGTGGGTGCCCCCGACCCCCCAAAATTTCCCCCCAAATTTCCCCCCCGGCCCCCTCAGACCGTCCCCACGGGACTGGTTCTCCTCGTGCCCCCCCCGGGGGCTCCAGTGGGTTCCACCTTGGCAGGTCCTGGGCCCAACGGGGGGGTCAGACATGGGGGGTTTCCTCATGGGGGGCCGGGACCCCCAAAACACACCCAGGGGACCCCATAAAACCACTCCAGGAACCCCTAAAATTATCCACAGACACCCTCCCTCCTTAAACCTCATTTTGGAGACCCCAAAATTGACCCCCAGGACCCCAAACCCACCCCAAGGGGTCCCAAAACCTGCCCCACTGACCTTTTAAAGCATCCCCAGGACTCCAAAACCCACCCAAGAACCCCCAAAACTACCCAGGGCACAATTTATAACCTCTGGGATGCCCCAAAATCCACCTCTGAGACCCTCAATTCCACTGTGCGGAATTTATAACCCCCAGGGGGACCCCAAAATCCACCTCTGAGACCCTCAATTCCACTGTGTGGAATTTATAACCCCCAAGGGGACCCTAAAACCCACTCCTGGAACCCCCAAACCCATCACGTGACAATTATAACCTCCGGGGGACCTCAAAATCAGCCCTGGGACCCCCAAAACCCACCCCTGGAATCTTTAAACCCATCATGTTGAGTTTATAACCCTGAGGGACCCCCAAACCCACCCCTGGGACCCCCAAAACCACATGTAGAGTTTATAACTCCTGGGGGACCCCAAAACCCACACCTGGGACCCCCAAACCCATCCCATGATGTTTATAACCCCTGGAGGACCTCAAAATCCACCCCTGGGACACCTCAAAATCCACCCCTGGGACCCACAAACCCACCACATGACATTTATAACCCCTAGGGGACCTCAAAATCCACCCCTGGGACCCCCAAAACCACATGTGGAGTTTATAAC